GTCTTCTGGATCATAAAGTTGTTTCTAAGCATATTTTTATGTAATTAAGCCCAAATTGTATATTTATTTTAACCGTTTCTGCTGTAGGGAAAGGAACAGATCCTGCTCTGTAAAGGCGAGACAGAGAAAGTCCACTCAGCATGTTCACCATCTGCCCCGTTAAACTGTGACTTTTCACAAGTTTTTTATTTGGAGAAGCTTCTCATCAGCATATCAAATCTTTGAGCACATATTATAAATATTCCGGTCCTGTTTCTTCCTTTTTAGCTAAAAAACATGCTCTGATATATACAAACCTTGCTTTTTGTTGTTGTTTTTTTTCCCCCTTCTATTCCAGTGTGTGGTGCGAGTCTGTTGCATCCGCAGTTTTGGCCACTTCCTGACAAATCTCCAAGGCAACGTCCTGCACTTCAACCCAGAGGCGGGCATCTTCACCAGCATCAGCCAGTCGGAGCAGGATAATCTGGTGCAGCAGGCCAAGGCCCAGTTCAGGATGGTGAGTCAGAACTAAACAGAACCAAACGTACCGACCCACAATGCACTTTTTCAGCACGTCCACAGTTAGAAATATCAAGCAGCCCTCATCTGTGTGGATAAAATGCTGCAAATAATGAATAGATAAATATTTTTTATTTGTTTTTAATACCCTTTCTGTGTTTTTTTTTTTTTTTTTTTGCTGATTCGTTTAGGCTGAAGAGGAAGCTCGTAGGAATCGTTTAATGAGAGACATGGCCCAGCTTCGACTCCAGGTTATCTTTCAGCTCCTGCCTGAAATCAGAATATAAACAAAGCCACACTAACAGAACCTTGTTTAAAAAAAAAAACAGCCATGTCTTTATTTTTTTATTAATCTTTTTAAATAAGTCAAATGTAAATCCTACTTTTTTCTGTTCTTCATGTGCAGTTAGAGGTTTCACAGCTAGAGGGCAGCCTTCAGCAGCCTAAAGCTCAGTCCTCCATGTCTCCTTATCTTGTTCCTGATGCCGCCGCCCTCTGCCAGCATCTAAACCTCATCAGACAGCTGGCTGGCAGCGGCTGCTTCATCATCATCATCCCAAGAACAGGTCAGTGCACCGCATTAGCCGAACAGTGCAGATCAGTAACCAGAACTTTGACCTTATCTGTGCTCCATCTGTGTCGCAGTGATTGACGGATTGGACCGGTTAAAAAAGGAAAATCCGGGTGCGAGAGACGGCATTCGCTTTCTGGAGTCGGAGTTCCGCAAAGGCAACAGGTTAATGTCTTTAATAGTAAGCTGATGTCTGGGGCTGTTTGGATCAGTGACATAATATTTAAGTAGACCCCACATTGACTGTTGCGGTGCAGGATTTACGGGCGCCATCTTGGGGAGGTCAAGCTGCAACCCAAACCAGCTGGTTTAACCAGAACAGAGGGAGGATGCGACAGCACTGTGCGGCGTATTTTAGTTTGAATCAATGGACGGCTGGAGGGAAAACTTTGTGTAGCAATCAGAGATTTGTGACAGTAATTAGAGACAGAGATTTGTGTATATCTGTATAAATATATTTGTGTATATAGTGATGAAAACGTATGGCTATGCTTTGCAACATCCATCAGAATATTCTATTACCAG